AAAAAGAAAAACAATTAGCAAAATGATTTACACGCAGCCTCCCATGTCCAGCGACAGCAACAACAACAACAAAAACGGCGAGCTCCTCAAAAATTAATTTTTCAATTTTCCCAGTTTTCATTTTGTGCATTTTACAAACAATTTTTCTTTCAGGCTTTTGCCTCTTTGTTGTTGATGTTTTTTTTTTTTTTATGTGTATTTAACCAAATAATTATGACATCAAAACAAAATACCGACGGCACGCCGAAGAGTCGCTTAACACTCTGCCAGCCAAATGGCACTTTGACACCAACAAAAGCCAGTGGCTTCCATTGGCCACTGTGGGATGTGCGGCTGTGTGTTGCTCGTCAATGTCGCTGGGATTCGGATTGGGATTGGGATTGGGATTGGGATTGGGTAGCGGCCAAGCCAAACAAGTCGGCGGCGACGCACGATCAACTAAGTGCTCACTAAAATGATTTTAAAGACTTATAAAAATACGCATCAATGTTGTTTTTACATGTGTGTATACCCTGTAAAGCAGCGCAGTGTGTAGGCCAAGCGTTTGGTTGGCTTTAGACGAGCTTGAACCCTTCACGTTTGCTTTTGGCTTATAACATTTTATTTAGGCAGTTTTAATTCTAATATTTTAATTGATATGATTTTTTTTTTTATATAATAAAGTATCAATACTTTTCTACTTTATCAAGAAAAACAGTTTCTAAAATCAAGATTTTTTTATTAATAATAAATTTATTTGAGTTATTTGTTATTACATTTTTTAGTTTTGACTTAATTTACCTAAGTTCTTATAAATTTATATCTTATTTAGTTTAATTAACAATTCGCTCAAACATCGACCCTTGACATATTCACAAGTTGCTTTTAGGGTACAAGATAATCTGTATTTTTTAATGATGTACAATTTTTTTTTTAAATTAACTTAACACATTATTTAAAAACTTATTAACCAATTTTTTTTATCAATATGTTCTGTGCATTATTTTGAAAGCACATATATATTTTATTTTTAATTGCAATTACATAAATATTTAATTAGTTACTTTCATAAATTTTCTCATATTAATTATAATTTTGATTTAGTTTAATTTACAACTAGCTCACGTAATGTCCCTTCACATATTTGCAACTTGCGTATAGGGTGCAATATATTCGAGCTGTTGCCGAAGTGCCTGCGGCTTTTTATTTTCATTAATTGTTCTCATGAGGAAAACACAACAGCAACAGCAACAACGGCAACAACAACAACATGCTCAGTCGAAGCTGTTGGCATGAAAAGTGTGACAAAGTGTTACGCATGCAAAGACGGCGTCGGCAAAAGATACATTTTCCATGTTGCAGTTGTTGTTGTTGTTGTTGTTGTTGTTGCTGTTGCTGTTGCACTGCTTAACTTGTTGGCTGGTTCAGTTGTCCGAGCCGCTGCCCGCTGCGTGAATGATGGACTTTGTCTTTGTCTCCTGCATCTGCCAGCTCTCTGATATGGCAGCGAGTTGTTGCGCCTCACTGTTGCATCTGTGGCGCGTCCGTGTCGCATGCGAGTTGCATGTTTGTATCTATGTAGCTGCCAGATACTTTTACTGCACGTCTTTTGCATTTTGACTAATGACGCCGCCTCTCAAGGCGTTTCTCCAATTTCTTTTTCTGTTAATAACCAGCAACAACAACAACAACATCAACAACAACACAGCCAAATACCAATTCTTGTTGCTGTTAATTGTTGTTTGGCCTTTTGCTGTAGCTTGGACGCTTTTTGCCCAAGGTTATAATGTGTGTGTGATATAAAATCTTAGAGCTCTTTATGCAAATCTCTTGCTGCCTGTCATTGCATAAGACATCATATAACAACAACAATAACAACAATAAAATAAATGCTATGTACATAAAATAATAGCCAAAAACAACAGATTGCATTTATTTTTGGAGCCGCTAAGTAGCCAAGTCGATAAGGTCGTAACTTAATCCTCAATGAGGGGTCTTCATAAATACCTAAAAGCAACAATAAACACACACACGCACACACACACACACAACGCACCCGAAGATGCATTGAAATTTGTCTGTCTCGGAGTGTGGGTCAGCGCCAAGATCGGGCTCCACTTGCCAAGCCAAACAAATTGGCGCCCATCTATCGAATTGTTAACACTCGAAGAGCAGAACCCCAAATGAAACTGTGCGGAACCAGTCGGACACACAACAGCAACCGGTTTGGCAAAACTTAATTAAAATAATATCAACATAACAATTTTTATTTTATTTTTGTTGTTGCCGTTGCCATTGCCGTTGTTGTTGTTGTTGTTGTTGTTGTTGTTGCTCGTACCTTTCTTTCTTCCTCATCGAGCTCATGAGGCTCGAAGCTGTGTGCCAATATTCATTCATGGCAAAAATCTTGAACGCGACTCGATCCGTCTAAGGCGACTAAGACGGCGACTACTATACGAAAATGCTATGCAAAATTATGCAGAGTGAAAGAAACGGGCAACAGACATACAAGACTTACTATACATATAACTTTATATGTGTTTTATACAGTATTAACTAACTAAGACGAACTTCATTAGGAATAAGATTCTCCAAAAGAATACAGTTTTACTTGCTGCGGTTTTCAATTGGATCTTAATTTGAAATTTGATAACAGTAGACACTATATGAATTATTATTTTTATTATTATTTTCTGTAGATTTCAGTCTAAACACATTTAAATTTTCATTATTTGGCTAACTAAAGCAATTGGATGCTAGTTCAAGCTTTGCGTAATGCTAGGGCTGACTGGACTTGGGATTCGTGGGGATAGTCGGCTTGCAAGAGATATAAGAAAAACGTTAACTTTTTTCCTAGCAAGCAGCACTTGGCCAAGATGGACTGTAGTAGGCCAGCTTTAAATGTAAATGTCTGCGGCACGAACAACCGCAGCAACAACAACAGCGACAACAACTTGAACGTTCGCAGCTTCGCTTCGCTTTTTTTTTTTTATATTTTTGAAGGGAGTGTCAATTGTTAGCCAAGTTATTAAGCGCACAAGAAGAAGCTGATGCCGTAGCTGGCCAAGATCAGAGCCCAGATTGAGAAGGCAGCCGACGGACCAGTTCGACTCAGTTCAGTTGAGCTGATGCCCCGCAAAGCGAAAAAATAAAAATAAAATAAAAACAAACACCGTTCGAGATGTGAATGATTCATGTGGCACTCGTATTCAGATACAAATCTTTGATCGACTGTAAAAATTATTGACTGCGGCGCATAATTTTATGAATGAATGAAACAACAACAGCTACAACAACAAAAGGCAGTCACAGCAGCAGCAAAAAAAAAACACAGCACGCGCTTCCATTGTAGCTGTAGATGTATCTGTATCTGTATCTGTAGCTCTGGCTGTGGCTGTGGCTGTAGCTGTAGCTGTATCTATAGCTTTGTGTATGTGTGCGTATCTTCAATGTAATTTCACTGCTTCGCTCGCTCGCTGCTTGTCTCGTCTCGTCTCGAGTGCACTTTGCCACGGAAATTATGCGTGAAATCAAATGTAAATAAAAAAGCAAAAGTGCCAAAAGAGCTCCAACCAGCTGGAGACGAGAGGCAGCCCCGGCATTTGGGTTAGCAATTGGTGGCAACTGTCTGTCGGCTTCGCGGCGGGCACGGTAGTTATTTTGGCGCATAGCTGCCTGTCAACACGAGTGCACTTGTAATGCAAATCAACGCGGTCAAGTCGAGCTGCGACGCACTCAAAGATGACGCCACAATCGCCACAAGATTCACTCTCAGATGCCAGCGCAGGCTGGAGCTGGAAATGTTGTTGGCGTCCGTGTCGCCAGTCAAATCCATGCTGTTTGCCAAATTATAAGCCAAGTTTATGGCATATGAGCGGCATTTAATTGCGCTTGCGCAACTAAGTATTTGCTGCTTAGTTTTTTTGCGTTGACCATTGCGTAAGGTCAACACTTGACCCGCTGCATTGTGACCCAGTTGCCGGAGGTGGGCAGCTGTGGGAAAGCCACATGTTCTACTTCTCACTGTCCACTTAAGCGTTTTTTAATCGATTTTAATTTAATTGCTTAGCTGCCGTGGCGTGGGCGCAGTTCCAGCTGCTAAAAACGAAAGTCTAACAACGAACAACCTTAACAACAACAGCAACAACAGCGACAAGATGCGACAATTTGTGGCAAATTAAATTGTTTTGTGGTTCATAAATTGTTGTCAACGTCTGCGTGTTATGCAATTGAACAGCTGTCATGGCAAATCAATTAAAATTGTGGCTAAAAATCGACCTGAAATTTATAGTCGCACGATTTTCGGTGTCGACACCACCCGCTGCGCCAGACTCTAATATTGCGTTTTTTATTTTTATTTTTTATTTTCATTTTGTTTTTATGTGCGCCAAAACGCACAGTTCATAACGAATTGAAACAGGCGACAAGTTGTATGTAAACCGATCGGTTTATGTGTCTAATTAAGCTGAAGCTGTGAAAATTGCAATTAATTGAGCAATCAGTAAAATTGTGTTAGATTTGTAAGGCGCTCTTAAACGATACTTTAGCTAATTTATAAACAATATAAAATACTAAGAGTAATCTCTCTCGCTTTTCGAATTGCCCAGAGATATGTAAATACTTGCGTAAATATATAAATATAGATATATATATTGTATATATATATATATATATATATATATATATATATTTTTTTTTTAATATATATATATATATATTTTTTTTTTCAATAGCCCAAAGATCTCGATCTCATAATTAACTTTATATATGAGATATATATATAAATACATGCGAATTCTTACACATTTTTTTTTAATTTGCTTAAGATTTTATTGCTAAACGTTAAAAATAAAAGAGTAGAATAAATCTTGAGAATATATCAATTCTTAATTAACTTTAACTTTAGTCTACAACATTTTTATAATTTTTAAATATTATATAGAAATTTATTGTATTTTTGTCAATTTATTTATTTGAACATATTTTTTAATCAAATACTTTGCTCCATTTGTATTTTTTAGGCGGCGTAGCCCCTGGAACTCCATCAGCGGCCATGATCATGGAAGGGCTTGAAACCCTGGTGGCGCCAACGCATCACGCATTCCTGCTCACCGAAACGGCCGCTGCGGCCCACTTCAATGTGCTGAGCTTTGACACGTGCCTGTTCAAGACCAGCACGGCGCAGAGCAGCAGCCCCTCGGCAGCCAGTTACCTGAGCGCCGCACAGTTTGGCGGTGGCAGCGGCTTAGGCGCCGCCAGCAGCAGCTCAACTGTTGCCAGCAACAGCGGACAAACGTTGCTACACTACACGACAGCGGCCAGTCACAATCACAACAACAGCAACAACAACAACAATAGCAACAACAACAACTCGGTGCTGCGAGCACGCAATCAGACAGCCACACCCACACAGGGCGGCAGTCCAGGCAACGTGGCAGCGCAGCCAATTGCCGGCAGCGCAGCAGCCGCCAGCAGCGGACGCAGCTCGGCCTCACATCTCAGCCTGCTTAACACCAGCCAACAGAGTCCCGTAACGGCCACAGAGCACGGCGTCGCCGTTGAGGCCAAGCAGCTGATTGAGGCCTTGCCCGGCGATCTTAACACGCCGGTAACCACCTCCAGCGATATACCCTCATTCTTTGGGCCATCCACAGTGGTAGAACCGCCGCCAATTACTGGTAAGTACGGCAGTTAACAAGTGGGCGTCATTCTAACTTAAATATATCTATAGCTAAAAACGTACAAATATGTTTAAGTCTAAATTGACATAGTTCATATTTGCAGACCAGCTTTGCTGGAAGCCCAGTTCGCATAGGTTAAGCCTTCCGAAATAAATTATCTATGTGATATGGCTAAGCTGCAGATGAGCTATATGCTAATATATGCTAACATGGGCTATTGCAGAAATATTATATATTATGTGCAATCATATCATACAGTGTTCTGATCAAAGGTCGCATAGGTACAAAATATATATGTATACTTTGTGCACCCTATAACTATGCTCGCGTAGGTCGGAAATACAGTTCTTATGATGAATGCAGGACAAACAGGTTGACATAGCTGACACAGCCTAATCGTAAGGGTATGAAGTGAAACACTGCGATATTTTGCTTTTGGTGTTTCTTTATCTGAGCGCTGTGCTAATGGATGCAGCTGCCACATGCTGCAGTTGCAGTCTCCAAAAAGACTCCACAGACTCTAAATATGCAACTAATCCGTTGTCAGGCTTAAGTCGCTGCATAAATCAGCCTCAGCCGGAGCCAGAAAGCTATCCAGCAACTGCAGTCTTTAGTTTGTGCTCTCGCTCCCTCCCTCTCTCTCTCTCTCTCTCTCTCTCTCTATGTCTTTGTACTCTTATTTGTCTCTTTTTTAACACTCATTCTGCGCAGAAAACAAGTTCAAAATCAAAAGGCAAACATTCAAATTTCAAGTACCAATTTTATTTAAAAATTTTGTTTTGTGATTTCTTTTCTTAATTATGGACCATGTTAAGAGTCGCTGAAGAGCTTGACATATATATGTATATGTATATGTATATACATGTGTATATGTGTATTTTTTCAATTTTATTTTTTGCCTCGCATTAATAAAAATTTTGACATTTAATGGCTATATCTCTATATGGACTCATTAAAATACGTAGTCATAAAATTACTTTTTATTAATTGCAAATAAATTCAATTGCATTGCAATTGAGAGAGAACTTAATAGAGCAAGAGAGAAAGAGAGTGAATTCTTCTAAGACTGAACAATGAAAAAAGCACTTAATTAATCAACAAAACAACAACAAGAATAATAATAATGCATAATAGCAACAACAACAATGTGTTGTCGGCACATGTATTAAACATTTCCGTTCAGTGTCAATGTTTCGAGCGCAGATACGACGCCAGAGTCCAGACGATATCAACGATATAATACACATATATAGCTCTGGGCATCACATATGCACAAAATGAAAAGAACAAGAAAAACATACACACACACACACATACACATGCATTTCTAATTGAATTAAGGCAAAGCAAATAAAGTATACTAGATTTTCCGAGCGCTATCAAAAACAATTGAGTTTAATTGCTCGCGTCATGTTTTTGCAGAGAGCACAAGCTAAGAAACAATTCGAAATGCTAGGCCAGATTTTGTTAAACAATTCTTTACCAATTGAAAATGCATAAAATGAGACATAAATATATAAATGTGCATGTGCCATGCATTTAGTAGCTGAAATAGCTAAGAATTGGACGCGTCGCGCCAAAAAATGTCACTCATAAATTTGGCGCAGTCGCCTGACAAGCGCTCGGCCCACGCACAGAAAAATTGTCAGCAAAAATTTGAAAAAAAAAATAAATAAAATAAATAAATAAAGAAGGAATATTAAGAAAATATATATCAAACAAAATAAAAATACATTAAAACAATATGCATGCCCAAGGGGGCTGGGCTTGAGAGGGTGCGCGTATTTCTTTTCTAGTTGGCTGGCGGACAATGATAAAGCAGCTTTTAATCGCTAAACTTGGCAGCCGGCACTGGCATTACTTATGGCCAACTGGATGAGTTATGTATGTGCCATGTGGCATGTGGCATGTAGCATGTAGCAAATGGCAAGTGGCAGGCTGCAACAAACAGAGAAAAAATGCCATTGTCTGCTGTCTCCAAAATAAAGCTGGCCAATTGCGTTTCCCTTGCCAAATAAACTACTTGCGACTGGCATTAATTATGCCTACAATATATGGCAATCAGCCCTCTTCCTAAACTTTGCCCACCCCCCCACTGACTGCTGCTGATATCGCTGCAGTAAAAATTCTGTGAATTCAAGCGCATGCCCCGCTCAGTTGGCCCCACTCACCCAGCCCTTGCCGAGATTGATGTCGCAGCACATTAGGCGCAATGCAACTCAATCAATACCCAAAGCCAACGGCTGTGGCATTAATGACTACGACAATGATCATCATGATGTGCTCCGGCAAGAAAAATACAACAAAAACAGTCCAGCAAAAGTCTGTCCAAACGGGCCTGGATGCGAGCCCAGCGGTAGCCGCGTAATTAGTCTTCTGGCCGACACTTTTGACTGGCTAGAGATGGTCGCGTGACAAGACAATCACGCTGGCTAAAGCTTATGTATATAGTGAGCTTTAACAGCATTTACTTGCCCTGAAACTTTAATTTGTTATATACGTCTATAAATCTAATTTATGACAAATATATGTTTTAGCCTTTCAATATACATCCCCCTTGGTCATATCAAATGACGTTTCTCAACACTGTTAATGAGTTTGTTGTTCTCGTGTTTCAGCACGTGAATTGCTTCACGTGAGTAGCTGCCACCACTTGGTGCAACTCCGCAGCAACTTCAACGACAACGATGAGCGATGATGCGACCTCCCGTGTTGTTCGATTTCCGCGAAATCAAAGCGCGCCCAGCTGCAAAAGCAGCCCATATAACACTTACTTCAATGCCAGGGCCGTTCAAGCGAACTGTGATTGATATCGGCAGAGGCAGGGAGAATACAGAAGAAAAAAAATGAAAAAAAAAGAAAAGAAAAGAAAAACTGCAGTCTCTATCAAGTTTTAAGCTGAGCTAACAGATAATATCATGCATTGCTAGAAAACGACTAAAGTTCTCTCAATCCATTTCCACCTCATTGCAGGCTCAATTGAATCCGAGGATCTGTCGCTGGAGCCTCAAGTTGTGTCCGTTGCCAGTCCTGTGTTGTCCTCGTGCAGCCCATTAAAGGAGGAGCGCAGCACGCCGCCCGCGTTGTCCATTGTCAAGGAAGAATCAAGTAATAATAGTTGTAACATGTACCCACTACACAACAACAACAGCCACCACACAACAACAACATCAACAACAGCAACAACAACAGCCACAGCAACAACAAAACAAACAGCGAGCGATACCAGCAACACAGAAAGCATTGGCTCGCCCGCAGCCACAACAACCTCGGCAGCTGGCAGCAGCAGCAACAACACACAACAACAACAACAACAGCTGCACCACAACAACAACAATAGCCACTGTCAACACAGCCACCAACAACAGCCGCAGCACTTGAGCTCGCCACAACACCAACAACAATACCAACTTCAACAACACCAAATACTACACCAACAACAACAACCACAACAATTACCACACCATCATCATCATCACCACCATCATCACAGTCACCACCAACATCAACACCAACAGCAACATCAGCAACACCAACAGCAGCAACAACAACACCAACAACAGCAACAACAACAACAACAGCAGCAACAACAGCAACACTATCAACAACATGCACTACAGCAGCAACAACAACAACACCAACAACAACTGCCTGGCAAAATCTCATATCGCGCCATTTTCACCACGACAGGCAACGCTAACAACAATACAATGAGCGCCGCACAGCAACTACAGCAGCAACAACAGCAGCAGCAACAACAACAGCAGCAGCAGCAACTGGCATCCCCACAGCTGAGCGTATTGCCCGGCCAAATGTCGCCTCCGTCGAATAGCTTGGGCAACAGCTGGGGCCTGCCCAGTCCGGACAAGTCGCTCTTCCAGCCGCCCATGTTCAGCCTGCCCGCCCACTACGCCGTGCAACAGCAGCAGCAGCAACAACAGCAAACGGCCGCGGCCACGCCCTCGCCCTACGATGATGGACGCGCTGCAGTGGCTGCCGCCCAACATGCCGAGCTTCTGGGCCTCAGCATGGATTGCACGCCGCTGCTACTCAAACAGCCACCGCCAACCTACAGTGGTGCTACAGTATCAACCGCCGGCTTTGCCAGCCTCGCCGACCTGCAGAACAGCCATGAGCAGCTACAGCAGCAGCAACAACAGTATGCCGTGCGCTCACAGCTATCCGTGGGCACGCCCAAATATCAGTGGCTGGATACGCCTGCCGACTATGCAGCGGCTGCCGCCGTTGTCCAACAACAGCAGCAGCAGCAACAGCAACAACAACAGCAGCAACAGCAGACGCTTGTTATGCCTGGGCCAACATCCTCAGCCAGCTCGAGCAACGCAGCACTGGGCGTGCTCATACCCAAGCAGGAGAGCTATCCGGATATGCAGCCCAGCTCAAATGGCACCGGCTACTCCAGCGCCTCGGCTGCTGCTGCCGCAGCAGCTGCTGCTGCCGTGCAGCTGGCCGAATACAGTCCATCCACCAGCAAGGGACACGAGATACTTTCGCAGGTGTACCAGCAAAGCAGCGTGCCGCTCAAGCTGGTGCCCGTCAAGCCGCGCAAATATCCGAATCGGCCCAGCAAGACGCCCGTGCACGAGCGTCCCTATGCCTGCCCTGTGGAGAACTGCGACAGGCGTTTCTCGCGATCCGACGAGCTCACCCGCCACATACGCATACACACCGGCCAGAAGCCATTCCAGTGTCGCATCTGCATGCGCAGCTTCAGTCGCAGTGATCACCTGACCACCCACATACGCACCCACACCGGCGAGAAGCCCTTCAGCTGTGACATCTGCGGCAGGAAGTTCGCGCGCTCCGACGAGAAGAAGCGTCATGCCAAGGTGCATCTAAAGCAGCGCATCAAGAAGGAGTCCAAGCTGAATCGCGAACAGCATCAGCAACAGCAACAGCAGCAGCAACAAGCCGCGGCCGCCGCCGCTGCAGCAGCAGCAGCTGCCGCACAGCAACAGCAATTGCAGCAGCAGCAGCAGCAGCAACATCAGCAACAGCAACATCAGCAACACCAACATCAGCAGTATCAGCATCATCATCTGCTGCATGCCGCCGATTTGGCCATCGTGACGTCCAGTGCGACCAGCATGTAGACCGCAGCGAACTCAACGTCTTCGATTGATTCCAGCAGTGGGCGAGAGCTATTGGCCTACGATGAATTGGGCATCAATCTGGACCTGGCCGTGGACATTGATGCGAGCCCGCTGCCCTTTGAGCTAGCGCTGACCTCCGATTATGGAACACTCTCACCGCTGACCAGCCCGCGGCAGTTCAACTATGTGCTGGTCAGTCCGGACTCGAGCGAGCTGCTCCTGTGCACTCAGGATTCGCTTAGCCAAGGCCTTTAAATTTGCAACAGATACAATAAAAATTCAATATATCTACCAATTAATATCTATGCAGGAGTCAATCGCTGATGCTGAATTTAAACAAACAAAAAAGGGTATAAACAAACGTTTAGTAAACTCACGCCACAAATAATTAGCTAAATAGTTAAAAAATTGTAGCCGTAATTTTGGGTTGTGCTAGAAGCAACATCTACGCAAGACATATGTGAAACATAGCCTATATCAAAATAACTCCAGCCGCAACAAGCTGAGCAGCCACAAGTAAAAAAAAAAAAAAACATAAACAAATACAAATAAACAAAAAACAAAGTTACTAACCCAACAAAGTCTAATAATAATAAAAAAAAAAATAAACCTAAAAGAAATACAGAAAAAGAAAACGAAAAATAAAAAAAAATAATAATATTTACAAATATTTAACTTATGTCTCTAATACTGTGATCTCATGTGTAATAATTATTAATTTTAATTTCCTATAACTAAAAACAAAAATAATAAAACCAGTTAATGTTTAATACAATTATAATCTTTTTCAACTTTGCATAGCTAATGTTCATTTAAATGAAAACACAATATAAGTCTAACACAAGAAACTAATTTATTGCAGTTAAGCATTTTAAAGTCTATTATTAACTTATTTAGCATCTTAGTGGTTAGGTTTAACACACACAGACACTGAAACACACCCAGACACACATTGAAAAAGATAAAGAAAATTAAAATTAACTTTAGCATATCATTTTTGTATAAGCATAAGAAATAAAAGCAGCCATTTTTGTGCATGTCATAAGTTACAGAACTTAAGAACTTAAGTTGAACGTGTGTTAGGTAAAGGAATTAAAGCTTGTGCAACAAATTATAATTATTAATTATAATTAAAAAATATAATTACAATGTGAATGACGTGTTGAAAATGCCCCTTGTACTTCCTTAATTGATTCGAAATCAAAGGCAACAAAAATCTAAATTTAATTTCCAAAACAAATAAATAAATAAATAAAAATCATTTAAATTAAGTTTCTGTATATCACAAACAAATAAGAATATATATAATATATATTTTATTAGTTGTTAGTTTTAAATTGCTTTAGTTTTAAGTTGAAACCTTTTTTATAATTAGCTTATTTTATTTTCGAAAATATATAACAATTTTATAAAATCAACAAAATATAATTTACAAAACATATTTACGTTTTTTTTTTTATTTTTATTCCCATTGCCACACTCTCTTTTCATTTTCAGTCAGGAACAGCACACCCCACACATACTTATATGAGCAGCTTACTCGAGTGAGCCCATCTTCTAGCCATAAGAAACTAAACTATATACTAAATAAAGTTAGATACTAGTTACATGGAACTTTTGTGCCACTTAAGCAACGATAGCTGATTAACGAAATGGAACGAATGGTTTAAGCTGCAAATTTGATTTTTAGAAGTACAGTAAAATATGCCTAAATGATACGCGCATATTTTGCATAGCCGCTGGTATGATACACAAAACTAAACTTAAGATTAGAAAGTTGCACAAATGCATATTCCGATCTATATATTTCTATAAGGAAATGGCTTTGGATATTACGTATTCAACAGCATGCAAATTCAAGGAAATTAATTATATATATGTATATATAATTATATTTAACGTCGTAAATGTACAAACTGATGGGAAAACCAAAACAGGTCGCAAAGAGCCTTTCAAAAATATACATGAAAAATTTAAATTCGAATGTGTGAAACTTATGTGCCATCAAAAAATACAAATACAAGAAAAATGTAACATAAGCTGAAACATTTTTAAAAACAAGCTGAAAATGAATCAAAAATGTTTGCCACACTACAAAAGAATATAAATATAATGAAAAATATTTAATTAAAATATATACTAATTGAATTTTAAATTAACAACGTTGTGATTTATATTGTTTATTCAATGCATGGTTCAATGTCAAAATACTTAATTCTTGTGTATTAAATAAATAAAAAGAAAAGTGCTAGGTAAAAAAAAAGAAATGATGTTCCACATATGAATGTATGTATTCAAGCTTAGCATGTACATACAATACATTAACAAATTATTTATTGATGTTGCTTATGGACAGTTTTTCTTCCATACATTTAAACAATTATACATATACATATTTAGATTGTGTAAAATTCAGAATTGAAACATTTGGATAAATGTATTTATTGATGCATTCTTAGCTAGCTAAAAATTATTTGTAGCTAAACGAGAGAGTATTACAAAATTTATAAAATTAGTTAAAAATGCTCAAAAACAGAAGAAGAAAATGAAATACAAATAAGAAAACTTGCAGATTTTTATTGGTGTTATATTGCAGTTGTTTTTTATTATGTGTGTCATCATATTCAAGTCAGCTTAATTCCAGTATTAATGTTTTTTCCATGTTTTAAATGTGCACATTAGGCAAAACTACGATTACGATTAAATTTCAAGACTAACAAATAAGATCTCTCAATTCTCATCTCTAATTTCGAAGACTGTCCCTGTATTAATCTTAAGCATTTCTAAGCAGAGTTTTAGGAGCGTATTTAGTTCTATCTATTTCTATAGAATAGGCCCCCCTTCAGCATATACGTATATGTTTATCAACTAACTTGAACTTGCAGCTGTATCAGTTTTTTCTATCAACGATTCTTATACGATACATATATACCTAGATCTAAGTTTTTATTTTGTGTCAATATATATTACAAAAAACAAAAAAGGATATATATATATATATATATATAAATAAAATGATAATAATGGTATGCAAATTTGGCAGCAAACAATTTTTGAACAAATAAAACAGAAAAATTTCAAATTTAGCCGTGTCTTTCACTATGGCCATATAAATTACCGCCACATACATTTCAATCAAGCATATCTATGCCATATAAAGCGCCGTCCATATTGCAGCTATATGACCAACGAAATGCAGCGCGCTAATAAAAAGCGCTATAAAATTGAAAATAATAGCCAGGGCCAAGCTGAAGACGACGACCAGAGCTCCACATCGACAATATATGCCGGCACTCAAAACTAATGAAATGTTCCAAACTCAAAACGATGCTGCACTCGGTGGCAGCCACACGCGCTCGAAAGTCGCCGGACTAGCGAACCCAGCGCCAGCTCCCGATCCAACTGCCGTTCCACCTGCCCATGCCCCTGCCTCAGCAACTGCCATTGCTAGCGTCGACTGCGCAGCTATCGGCCGGCAGCGACAGGCGCATGTCGAGCCTGAAATTCTTCAGTTTTACTTAGGCCGGCAAAGACGAGCAGCCGACGCAACAACGCGACGTTACCTGGCCAAAGTTATGAGCGCAATTCTATCGTAAAAATGCCCGAGAAATGAAAGCAATTTCATTCCATTACGCATCCCAGATACCCTAACCATTTCAAAGCTTCAATTTTGGAATCTGCAAGCCCAACAAGAAACTTCTTTGATTCGGCTTACGGTTCGAATTCACGCCTGTTTTATAAGCCCAGTTTTGGTTTGAGCCTTAGTTCTCACATTTCTTAAACTTGTCAGAATTAATTTTATCATAAATTCAATTTATTATTTGTTAATCCGCCTTCAAGTTCGGTTAATGTGGATAAGAAATTGAAAAGTTGTCAAATCTTGATCTACTTAATTAAAATAAAATACAATTTCTTTTCTAGAAAGTTAGTTTAGCTGAAGAGCCCAATTAACTAGATTTCTGTGTGTATGTCACCTTTACTGGAACTAACATAAATCTTTATTGTAATAATCTATTTTATGACTTTAATAAATACATTTTTTTCAAAACGATTTAACTAATACATTTTATAAGCTCTACAGTTATATTTTCCCCCAATTTCTTCATATAATATTTATAATACTTTTAAATATGTTCAGGTTTTGGAATACAGACTACAGTAAAGTGTTATAAAAAAACAAACTGATGATTCATATCTTTCATATCTTAAGGGCTTGATGCCTATATCATTCTACTATACTATCGCATATGATATAGAATATATTAACTAAAATGTAGTAGTTGTTTTCAACATTCCTTGACCATAACATGAGACAATGGATTCACAATATAAGTAGGATATATGGTACTTCAAAGTAAACATACCTTTTGCAAGTGTATTAAAATGCAAAATGCTTTCGCGGCAGCCTCCTCGGCCTGGTCAAGCCTAGCCTGGCCTGGCCTGGCCTGCCACAGTTAAGGTTCGCCTTGGCTGCAAACTAGAAATTCTTGTCTGCGCAGCAATCATCGCTGGGCGGGCATAGAGAGGAGGAGATGTAGCTGTAGCTGAAGCTGTAACTGCAGCTGAAGCTGGAGCTGGAGCTGAAGCAGCGTTTGTGATTTGTGTGCTTGCGGTACAATTTGAGCCGCAAGCTGTGGCTACCAATGGCCAGTTACCCAGTTTGGTCGCTTATGACAGGCGCAAACAAAATTATTTGAGTCGGGAGCTCCTTGAGCAGTAATCCTCGACTGGAACAGGTGATGAACCGCGTGGATGTCGCCTTAAGTGCGCCAATTTGACTTGTTTAGGTGTCCAGATGGCATGCCGCAGATATGAACGCAAATTGATTTCGATTCGATAAGCGGCGACAATTTTTAAACTTGTCGTCCGGTAGCGCCAATATATGACCAACTGCAGCGATCTCTTATCGCACCCAAAATGTCGTCCAATCCGCGTGAAAAGACTTTCCAGCATTTAACGTGCACAGCCACCCAGCCCAGAGGAGTCACCCGAACGCCTGCGCCCATATCACCAGGCGAGGTGTCGCCAGTCACTGCCATCCGATGATGAGTCTCGGGCAGACAGACGGCGGCCAAAGCCTGGTGGTGACAGTGTCGAGAAACCGGCCTGGTCCCGGGCTGTAATGTCATGCAGGCAATCTCTCTTGGGCCTTGGCTTAATATCTTTGCTTAACAGCTAATGAGTTGCCGTTAGTGATTTATTTTGTAAATGAATAGAATTGCTGGCAGTTACCAAGCCAACTTTGCATGCCACAT